TACTGTATGGCTTCACTTCAATGTGGCATCTAAAAAATACAACAGATGAACAAACAGAACAAAACAGAAACAGAGTTATAGATGCAAAGAACAAACAGGTGGTTACCAGAGAAGAGAGGGCTGGGAGGATGAAAGAAATCGGTGAGGGCGATTAAGCGGTACAAACTTCCAGTTGCAAAATAAATGAGTCACAGGTATAAAAGCTACAGTGTGGGGAATACAGTCAATAACTAAGTAATATCTTTGTGGTGACACATCATAACTAGACTTACCCTGGTGATCATGTTGAAATGAACAGAAGAAAAATCACTATGTCGTGTAACAGGAACTAACATAGTGTTTTAGGTCAATTATACTCTAAAAACAAACAAACAAGCATACAAACAATTCATAGAAAAAGAGATCAGATTTGTGATTACCAAAAGCAAGGGGTGCAGGGAGGGGCAATTGGATGAAGGTGGTCAACAGGTACTACAAACTTCCGGTTCTAAGATAAATAAGTACTAGGGATGTACCCCATAAATATCATGAATACAGCTGAATATAATGAATATAATGAACACAGCTGTACGTATAACATATATATAATATATAACACATCTGTATGTTATATACAAAAGTTAAGAGACTAAAACCTAAGAATTCTCATCACACACATTTTTTTCTATTTCTTTTATTTCATATTTATATGAGATGATAGACGTTCACTAAACTTATTGTGATAATCATTTCACAATATACGTAAGTCAAATCACTATGCCATACACCTTAAACTTGTATGGTGCTGTTTGTCAATTATATCTCAATAAACTGGAAGAAAAATTAAATTAAAAAAATTTTTAAAGGGTGAAGACTGAACACAAACTGAGAGAAGATATCTGCATCACTTACCACTTACAAAAGTCTACTGGCCAAACCAAAGTAAGCGTTCCCACTGACCAAGGAAAGAAAGACAGACAAGCCAGTGTGAAAACTGTAAAAAAGTCTCAAGCAGACACTTTGCAGATAAAGAAAACTGACTAATGAATAAACAAATGAAAAAAATGCCCAATTTCATTAGTAAACAACAAATGCTAATTAAAACAGCAACGAGCTAGTGCTACACATCCACTGGAGGGGAAGAAAGTAAGACGTCTGAGAGTCCCAACAGAGCCCTGTGACCCACAATGTCGAAAATATTTACTGTCTTGCCCTTCACAGAAAAAGTGTAGCTCCCTGGTCTAAGATACTGTTAATATTCTATTCCTTCATCTGGATGGTGGTTACATGGTGGCGTACAATCTGGGATACGCGGTGACTACACATTATACACACTTATTTAAACTACACATATACATTATACATATAATACATATATAAAACATGTATGTTAAATGTGCATATATACATACATATTATATATACATAGTTACATACATATATTATTTTTATATTCCACTGTAGCGTCACAAATTAAAAAACAATTAAGCTTAAAAAAGTTAGGCCTGGGGCTTCCCTGGTGGCGCAGTGGTTGAGAGTCCGCCTGCCGATGCAGGAG